ATGCAGGTGTCGGTTCAGGATATGAGATCGGATCAGTATCAGGAGAAGTAACCACAGGTGGAGGGTGATCTTGCACTTTGTGTCGACGGGCGTATACCAAGTGTATCGGAGGCCTAGGCTCAGGAAAAGTAACATAGGGAAGAACTGCTGAAGTATTGGACTCGGGTATAGTGACCGTGTAAATGAGTATATCATCATTCTCCCTACAGATATTTGTGTCTGTTGATGAAAATGGTGTATTTTCATAAAAGGAGACATCAATTGAAACAATATACCGACCTGTACTTGGAGAAAAACATCTGTACCCCTTTTAAACTCGAGAGTAGCCTAAGAAAATGCACTTTAATGACTTGGGATCTAACTTTGTTAAATGGGGATTAACATCTCGTACAAAACAAGTGCAACCAAAAACTTTAGGAGGAATAGGAAAATTTTCATTATTTGGAAATAGGCACTGATATGGAGTTTTACCATCTAAAACAGTAGATGGCATTCGATTGATAAAAAAACATGCGGTAGACACAGCATCCGCCCAAAAATGTTTTGGCACATTCATTTGGAATAGAAGAGCCCGCGTGGTTTCTAATAGATGTCTGTTCTTTCGTTCAGCAACTCCATTTTGGGGAGGTGTGTCTACACATGAAGTTTGATGAATTATGCCATGTTGAACCATATACAACTTAAATGAGGCAGACAAATACTCTTGAGCATTGTCTCCCCTTAAAATACGAACATGTACATTAAATTGAGTTTTGATTTCAGCACAAAAGGCACAAAAATGAGAAAATAACTCGGAACGACGTTTCATGAAATAAATCCAAGTCATACGAGAATAATCATCAACAAAGGTAACAAAATATTTAAAACCAGATTTTGACACAACAGGGCAAGCACCCCAAACATCATAATGAACCAGTTCAAAAGGAGCATGTGCTCGTTTATTGACTCGAGGACTTAGACTACTTCGATGATGTTTTGCAAATTGACACGAATCACACTGTAAAGATGACACCTTATTGAATTGAGGATAAAGCTTCTTTAACAACGGAAGAGAAGGGTGACCTAGTCGATAGTGAGCCTCTAACACAGTTCCAATGCCAAGACAAGAGATTGATTTGGGTAAGGATGTATCCAAGAGATAGAGACCAGCCGACTCATATCCTTTACCAATAACCTGATTCGTCAACAAATCCTGAAATACACAATATCCAGGAAAAAAGGTTACAGAACAATTAAGTTTACGTGTGATTTTGCTGATCGAAATCAAATTGAAAGCAAAATTTGGAAGACTTGGGACGGGTGACAAAGGTAAGGTAGATGTTGGGACAATTGTACCCGTACCAAGAACGGGTGACGTAGATCCGTCAGCCAAAGTCACACTAGAAGTATGAAGAGGTGTGTGGAATGAGGAAAAAAGGCTAGGATTACCTGTCATATGATCTGTTGCTCCTGAATCGATAACCCATTTTGAGGATGAAGATACAAGACATGTGTTTGGATTACCTGAATTAGCTACAGCTGAGATAGGAGTAGATGAATGCTTTAGAGCCTCCTGGTAACCTAGGAATTTGGCATATTCCTCCAAAGACATAATGATGGATCTATTAGACGGCTGTGTAGCGGAAGCAATGTGAGCGACTTGATTTCCTTGATTTTTTAACTTTAGCTTTCGACAATCTTTGATCAATGCCCGGGTTTCTTACAGTAGTTGCATACTACTCCTTTGCCAATCGGTCCTTTGGGTGGCCATTTCTCACCTCCATTGGGGAATGTTGAGACTTGCCCTACAAAAGCATTGCTTGGCTGAGGTGCCGATGATGTGGATGAAGTGTCAGTGCGAAGCACTCTACTGAAAGCATCTTGAAGAGAAGAGACCACATCACTAGATAGGATATGTGATTTGGCTGTTTCAAAATCAGACGTAAGACCGGCCAAAAAGCTCATGACTGCCATTTGTTCGCGTTGTTTCTGCTGCACTTTGATATGAGGACTAAATGGCATTAAGGTATTAAGTTCTTCATACGTTTTCTTGAAATCCATAAAATAAGCTGTGAGAGGCTTATCTTTCATTTCTGCCCTGTAAAAGGCTTTGCACACCTCATAGATGTGGTTAAGATTACCTTTGCCAGAATACATAAATTCCAAATAATCAAAGAGTTCTTTCACAGTATCACAATGACTAACGTACCCCCATGACGTCATTCTCCATGGAGTTCTGAATCTGGATAAATAATCTAGAATCATCACGAAGCCAGACAGCATTAGCAGCTCTATCAATCTCCTCCTTTGGCGGGTCATCAACTAAGTGGGTGTATTTATCAATGCTTCGTAAATAACGTTTGATAGTTTTACTCCATTCAAGATAGTTAGAGCCACAAAGTTTATTCTCAGTAATTTTAAAATTAATGGGAATAACTTCGGAAACTACCAAAGGGTGAGCATGTTGTACGGTGGAAGTGTCTGTATCAGAACCAGGCATTTTTTTTTTGACTTTTTTATTTTGTTTTTTTTTTGACTTTTTTTTTTAATTGCAGAAATAAGATGCTATGTATTAAGTAAACTTACAGCAACCAAAATACTATCCTTGAATGTCGTCGTTACTTAATAAGCAAAGTCACAGAAAGATAATACCGTTCAAGACACCTGAAAATAGTTCCGATGGATTCTCCTGCGATTGGGTCTGCGATTAGGTCTGCGAGGTCCTCTGACGGCGCATGTGGCCTGCGGATTTCGAGTGTAAGGTCGGCAGCGGAAGGCGTGACTGCTTAGGGTGGAGGTGATGCTCTGTGAAACTGTGGATTTTGGACTGAGGTTCTGAATTTTGGGCTAAGGTTCTGGCTGAGGCATGAACTGAGATTCTGAAAAATACTGCTAAGCTAAACTGGAACAGATGGTTTTGATACCATGTTGAAAGAATTAAAGATAGAATAGTAATGAGAAGAATGATTTTTGTGTGTATTTCATTGGAGGGTCAAGCCCATACCATATATATATACATTACAAAGATAGAATATTCCTTTAAGATTCTATACAATAATAATATCCTAGAGTATATTCCTAAAATATTCTAAAGCATATTCTAAAGATAGAAGAATATTCTAAAACATATTCTAAAGAATATTCTATATTGTCTTTCACACACAGCTTCTCCGGGAACATCATGACACCCCATTGGGTGGTCATTCTGGAATACTACGCACAATGAAGAGATTATCTCGCCAGTTTTATTGGCCGGCTATGCACAAGACTGTCACAGAATATGTGTCCAGGTGTGACACTTGTCAACGAGCGAAGGCTCAAACAATGTCGCCAGCTGGATTGCTACAACCATTTGCCCATACCAAATCAGGTTTGGGAGGATGTGTCGATGGACTTCGTGGATGGGCTGCCTCGATCCAACAATCATACTACAATTTTCGTGGTGGTTGACAGGTTGAGTAAGTCGGCACCTCTCATTCCTCTAACACATCCTTATACCGCATCTCTGGTAGCTAAGCGGTTTGTGGATTGTGTTGTTCGCCTTCATGGGATTCCAAGGTCCATTCTTAGCGACCGTGACCCCATCTTTCTGAACCATTTCTGGAAAGAGCTATGGAAACTTTGAGGAACTACATTGCGGATGTCTTCAGCATACCACCCACAAACCGACGGGCAAACGGAGGTCATTAACCGATGTATCGAACAATTCCTCCGCTCCTTTGTCCAGCACAGACCCACACAATGGAGTGATTTACTGCCCTGGGCAGAATACTGGTACAATACCATGTACCACGCATCGACCGAGATGACACCTTTTGAAGCATTATACGGCCGCCCACCACCTCCAATTCCCAGGTATGAAATTGGGTCCTCCTTGGTAGAAGAAATCGATGTTCAGTTACAGGAGCGTGATCGTGTTGGGAGAACTAAAAAAACACCTCATGACTTCCAACAACCGTATGAAACAGATGGCAAATCGTAAGCGCAGGAACGAGGAATTTGAAGTAGGTGACTGGGTGTTCCTCTGCTTGCAACCATACCGCCAAAAATCAGTCTTCAAACGTTCTTCACAGAAGCTAACCAACCGGTATTTTGGACCTTTTCGGGTTGAGGAACGCATTGGCCAGGTAGCATACCGACTCAAGCTTCCCTAGGGTTCACACATTCACCCGGTTTTCCACGTCTCCTTGCTAAAGAAAAGAGTTGGGGATGCTGCACCAGTGACAGTAGAGGTACCACCACTACGCGAGAACGGGTTATTACTGCTCCGACCGGAAGAGGTCCTCGGCACTCGGCAAGTTCAACGAGGGTCCCGAAAAGTGATTGAGGTGTTAATTAAGTGGGAGAACTTACCTATGGAAGAAGCTACATGGGAGGAGTAAGACCAGCTCCTGGCCAGCTTCCCTCGGTTTCCTGTGAACGTTGAGGACAAGGTTCTGTTGGAGATGGGGAGTATTGATGAGGAGCAGCAGCCAACAGTGTATGAGAGTGATGAGGTGGCAGTAAGACGGTCCACAAGGCCACGTAAGCAGAATAAAAAATACCTTGTTTAAATAAGTTTCAATATTATTTGTGTTTTCAGTTGTAAATAAGAGAACAAGTCTTCCTGGTTTTCAGGGAGAACGTTCTCCACTTTCCCATTCCCTGCATTTTTGGAGTCCATGACTCCACCTTTCCGTTCTTTTGTTCATGTACTTGGCTATTTATATCAATGAAAAACATCAAAAATAGGTAGTCTAAACTACCAAAAACACCTGCCTTATGCTAGTACGAGCATATCTCTTTGGCTTTGAAGAGGGACCTTATCATTAAGTAATTAACACCTACAGATGAATGATTAAAATAGTAAGTTTTATGTGTATTCATGATGCAGTTTGTACTGGAAACTGCAAACCTTGTAACACACTAGCATTCCATACTTCTTATAGTTATTCACAACAAATATAATAACATATGTACCAAGTTGTTTTATGGATATCCTGCTGCAAGTTTGAACAAATTAATAATCATAGAGGCCAAACCTTTTCCCTCATACGTGTACTCCAAGCATCACTACGACTTTGGGGATGAAAGTCAAGCGTAGCAGCTGCAGGTACACTTTGAGGAGGGGTGGATTGTCTGTTACTAATCAGTGGTTGTCGGGCCTGCTGCCTAGGACCACCTATATATTCATCGTCACTGTCATAGTCTACCGGTCTGTTTACAGCCCTCACCATAAGGGCCAACAAAAATACGAGTGCCTGTGATGCAATTAAATATGTGATGAATAAAATACCTAACATATCAATAAATATGTGATAAAGGGATGGATAAATAAATAAATAATTGACTAACTAGATTTTTTTTACCTGTAAGACGGTATTAGTAGACAAGTTCCATATCGGAAAAAATTAACTAACTAGATATATAGATCAATAAATAAAAAATAAATTAATAAATAGCACCTTCCCTGGTACTTCAAATTTATGCCATAAGTTTTACTCTGCACAGAATTTCTTTTGAAGGGCAACCAAGGGCATAGCCGGCACATGGCGTAGGGGAGGGCCATATATAATAGCTATTTGGTAAAACATTTCTAAGGAGCGTTAAAAAATCAATGTTTTGAATTTGTATCTTGTATGAAATGATTAAAATGAAAAAAGAGATTGTAAGAAATGCAATTTCCAGCTTCTTGATTTTTAGCGTTTTGGGAACACTTTGACCTTTCACCAAAACATTTGGCCAAAGCCTTAATACCATTGCACTTTTCCAAAAATAGGGCCTTAGCTAAACAAACTCGAAATAAGTGCGCCCAGAACCTTAACAGAAGGTAACATTTGTACCTGTAACACTACAGTCCCAAGGGCAGCCCATCTAAGAATATCCCAGTGATCTTCCACAAAGTCATATATCATATCAAAATTTCCCGTTTTATCCGTCGGGATTTTCTGCCAAACATTAATCACTATTCAAATATATCATAGAACTATTGTGAACCGTAGAGAATGTAAAACAGCGCGAACCTCTTTCCAACTTTTGTCAAAGAATATAAAAGCGGCAATTCCAAGTTCTAGCAAGATCAACAGCATTATCAAGACTGAATACTGTCATTTAGTTAGGAACCCAAACTTTGTCAAGAAAATTCATGCCCATTAAAAGTAAGTAGTACACACTTGATGGTTTAGTTATGCACTACTTGGTAAAATATCTCATCTCTTGACTCTTAGAATATGTTGGGAAATGGGATGGCGGAAATCGTAGGGAAACAAAAAGATCTCAAGATAAAAGTTGTTTTATGCATGGTAATAAATTGGAAATATGGAAAATCAAATTTGATTAAACTTTTTTAGAAATACAAATATACTTAGTCTTTCTTATTCTTTGCCAAATACTTTTTTCCTCCCAAAACTTCCCTCTATTTTCACCCGTAGTTTCTTTTCCTAGCATTTCCCAGGTACCAAACAGACTTGACCCTTAAACACTTTGCACCTACAAATCCCCGAAGTAGAAAGGACAAGGGAAAACAAAATCCTTGCAGAGTTCATGTTTATAAGATCAGCTATGGATCTCCAGTCAGTGTAATTTAAATTGATAGGATACACAAGAGAGACAGCATCTGTTCCTTGTTGCACCTCCAATGCAGCCAAAGCAAGATATTATAGAAATTATTATTCCGATTGCAATAAACAAATATATGAACCTGCAATAGAAAAGCACATTAAGTGACCGTGAAAGTTCCCCATACATGGGCAGAAATATCAAAATATCATTTACTCAACATATCAACTTAGCCACAAGAAAATATAGAACACTCCTGAGTTTGTCTTAGAGGAGTTAATAACTAATACGCATCTTAGTACAACTACGCAAGAAACAGATATGTCGGCCCTTAACCCAACTTCAACTGAAACTCCAACTTTCCCCTTCTACATTACATTACAATCTTCTGAGATAGGTCCGCTAACCCTTTCCTATATATTTCTGTGAGAATTGACTGCACCTATGATCAAATTCTATGACGTTTATGTTGATTTAAAAATAGAGAATTTGCAAGGGGGGCATGCCTTTAGCAGGTACCTGAACTCTTCCCTCATGAAATGTTCTTTGCAGTGAAAAAGAATGTTAAAAAAAGAACATATGAATATGCCATTTTAGAAATTTCATCTCGTTGCCTTGTATAGAAGAAGGATGTAGTCAGATGGGCATCCAGTCTAAAACGTTGAAACTATGCTTGTTAGCATAACTAAATCGTGTTAATTGACAATACACATTTCATGTAACTGACCCCAACATAATGGGGTTGTAGGCTCGAGCTTACCATGCATTTGGGAGGTTATCAAATATGTTGTTACTCAAAGAAACTGGCATTAGGATAGGGCGACCAAGCTGAATCATTTCAAGACTGTGAGAAGATGAAGAATGTTTTTTGTATTCCACAAAGAGATACACACCATATCCAATCATAGCCAGGCCAATAAGGGTCAATAAGAAGTTCAGAAGCTTCAGCAAGCATTCGAAGAACCCTCTGCACGCCATTCTCTAAACACACAAAAGCCCACAATTCAGAGCTCCTTACCCAAGTCTCACCTAATAATTCATCAGGTTTCTACCACACTCATATTTTTCAACGAAAAAACAGAGTAAGATGCATTTCCAAATGAATAACAAACAAAAAAGGCTTGCATGATGAAATTGAAGGGGTCTCTAGTACTGATTCCTTTGTTTTTTGACGGGCTGGTTGGGGTAGGTGGAGCTGAAGTCGGGATACATTTGACATTAAAAGGACTTCAAGAAAGTGGGTATCGTCCGCGTAAAAAAACGAGTGGAAAACTGCAAATGAGTCCTTTAAAATGCGAATAAGATATGAGAAGTTAATACTAGTAATAACAAACGTACGAAGACGGGAAGCACGAGAAGACAAGCCACGCACGATTCGAAAATATGAACAGAAAATGGTGAGGAAGTAAAGCACCAAATGGAGTGGTGATTTGTCGCGATGCGCTCGTTTGGGTCTGCCCTGCCAAGATAGATGGGTTGTGCATGTGGGCGCCTCTCTCTTTCGTAAGGACTAAGGAGTTTTGGTTTTCCCCTCCCAATTGTTTTGAGGAAACTATTTCCCTCCCTCACAATCTCTTTTTCCTACTAATTTTCGTCCCACTAAGATTGTGTCATACCAAATTTGATAAAGTTTATGTGCCTCTAAATCATTTTTAATTTATTCTTACTTTATCAATTCAATATCAACCACATAACCATTTTTTATTAATGTGTGTGTCACTCCCTCTTGTCCCATTGTTAGCGGGACGGAGGGAGTATCTTTTAATTTGTTAAATGTCCATTCCAAGTCATGTACATTTATGTATTAAAATTCTAGTTTTCAACTCGGTAAGACAATTATAGTAGGTTAGGGATTAAATTAGATGAAATTTAACGTAATTAAACAAAGGTTAGACACATTGTTTTCGAAAACTAGTTACATTTTCATCTTTCAAAAGTGTGAAAGTATACTTATGTCACATTTCGTTTATTAATTCTAGCTACTTTTGCATTTAGCCTTTTGATTTTCTTGTATATAATGAGTGTTAGAAGTTTATTCCTTCAACTTCAAAGACCCAACACTTTCCTTTAGGTTTCATAAGACTTATAGTGGACTAGGGGTTTTTAGTGACACAAGCAAATGGTAATCGAGGAGAACGAAACTAAGTGGGCCTAGTTCTTATTAAGTGATAATAATGAACAATTACATCACACCCTACTAGACTAGAGCTGGTCGTCTAATCTGAGCTAAGATATAAGGGAATAATTGATATGTTAGTGAAACAAGTTGTCAACCCCTAACTATGAAATAAATGCTGCTATTTATACTACCAAGGGGTAGGTGGTAGCGGTGATGTTGAGGATTGTGGGTGGCTAGTTTCCCAACCACCAAATCTGGTGCATTAAATGCGGTTCCCACCAATATCTTGGTTTCCCGCCAAATGTCCAGGACGATCATCCTCAGACTCCGTAGTTCTAGACTCAAACAAGCACAACGCCCAGGAAGTCGTCCGGGCTGAGCTAAACGTCCCCATTGAGGCCTATTAACTAATAATATGGCCCTAAATGGCCAAGACGGTGTTGACGAGCGTCGCCCGTACGAACACGTGCGTCGTACATCCTTTGACCTTTGTGGGACGTTGTCCGGTCCCTTCTTCCTTACGTGGTATTGGGCCGATCCTGTATTGGGTCAATTACCCCAACACAAGTCCCCCACTTCTGATGTTCCGAGCGTGTGCGGGACATTAGGAAGTATACATGCCCCCTCCGAGCTGAACCCCCACGACGCTCCTGGTGTGACCGTAATGATTACGTGTCTATTGACCTCCTGACGACATGTGTCCTCGGGTACGCTCCTCGCCACATGTTGCGTGCTCATTGGGTCCCAGATGGCAATGGTGGTTATAAATACCAGCCCAAATGGATGGCTCAGGGTTTCCGAATTCTCGTCCATCTTCTCTTAAAAAGCTCCGGCGACTTTCTGCTCAGAATCTTCGGCCAGTGGCACCCTTGGCTACTCGTGATTTAGGTAATTTTGCCCCTTACTTTTTCTCGTGGTGTTTTTTCCTATGTCGAACCTCTCTGAACATGCTTTGGACTCCCACCTCTCCTTCGAATCTTCGAACTATCGCTCCTCGTGAGAGACCAACCCTTCAAGTAGTACTGATTCTGTCACCACGTCTCGTGGAAACGCTGGAGACGCGGCCATACCCGATGGTGGTGCCGTCAACGAAGGCTAAGATGATGTCGCCATGGCTCAGCCAGAGAATTATGATTCTGGAAAAGAGGCTTACTATGGGTACGATCTGGATATCTACGACAAGGGCGATCCTCGTGATATCTCGCGCCATGAAGTACCGCTATGGAATGCCCATGGCTGCGATCAGTTCTCTCCGATAATGCGTTGCGTGAACTTCTGGTGCACTTGGCGGCGCCGGTCTATTACAGTCTGTGTGTTGCGATCCAACCCTTGAGGAGGCACCCCGATATGGTGATGATTAACTTAAATTCGGTGAAAGCCGGCCTACGGTTCTTCATGCATTCGTTCTATCTCAAATTATTTCGTTGCTACGATGTCGTCCCCGCTCAGTTTATGTAAAACTCTTACTGCTTCGTCTCGGCCTTTATTATTCGGTGCACCACTCGGAAGGTGGATCTGAGTTTAGATATTTTCCACTATTTCTTCAAATTCTCACCCCAAAATTCTGATGGATTTCTGAGTATCAGCAGCTGACCCCGCCGGAAGCTATTCCATGGGGCACCCTCCTCCATTCATGATAGGAAACATCGGTTTTGTTCGTCCGGTTCCCCGAGGGTCAGCTGTCTGAGCGGTGGAACGCGTTCCCCCCGAAGATTGGACCATTGACTCTCACTGGAGACTTGGATGAGGTCGTTAAGAAAGTGGAAGCTAGTGGCTTCGAGAATGTGATGCTCTATCTCACGTCCCAGACGCACGCCGATGTAGGGATTGGTACCTCCCATTTCACTAGAATGTTCTATCCTTTGAACCACATTGAGACCCCAGGCAGTTCTGTTCCTGCAAGGTGAGCACTTTTTGGATTCATGCCGCCCAGTTCTAACAGTTGATTTTTCCCGTTTCATGTCCTCCCCCACCGATAAGTTGATGGAGAATGATGCAATGAAACTGGAACGGGCTACTAAAGCCGCCAAGGCACGAGCGGCCAAGCAAAAGAAATCTGTTGGCCGAACGGCCCAAAGTTTTGGAGCTACCTCCATGGCCTCTCATGCCGATAAGCAGAAAGATGATGTCGAACGACTTACTGCCTCAACTCCACTCCCGCCTCCCCTTGAATGATAGGTCGCAGACCCCAGGCCCGCACAGGAAATGTCACCCCTGCGGGTTGTTGTCACCCGTCGAACCAGAACTGGGAAGGAAAAAGCGTTGAAGAGGCCCCACATCGAGCCCTCCGGCCCAGCCGCTCTGGGTACCGGGCTGCTGCTGCCCCGGCCATCTCCTGAGGTCATCGAAGGTGCAGTAACAGCATGTTTCGAGGTACATTCACCTTTGGGTTTTTGAATACTTTGTCCCTCCCTTGGTTTCTAACTCTTTCCCTCTGTCGCATGCTGGTCTGTACATTCTGCAGTCTGAATCCTCTAGGGACAAGGATGCCCTTTTGGCAATACAGAAGGCTAATGAGGCTCTAAAAGCGGCCCATGAATCGACTCGGCTGCAGCTGGAAGTGGCCGCCCATCAGGAGAAGGATCTCCAAGCTGGCCTGGAGATGGCTCTCTGATAACCGCTTACACGGCGTTGTAGTAAAACGGAGTCTAACCTTTCGGGTTTTCCCCGAGTATCGTGTCTCTTGAGGAATGACGGAGGACTTTTCTTAATTTAATCTTAGTCACAGGCTATCGCTAATCGTTGGAAGCTTTTTCAATATAGAAAGGTGATTGGGTTTTAAAATATACCAAATTGCAAAATTTCAACTAGCAACAAAGTTCAATTTAAAAGATTAATGACTAAAGATCGAATGTTCTAAAAGTTGAAGTAAATAAGGGCAATGAATTGAGTACTCAGAAATGGATATATTCTTGGATCTAGTAATTAGGGGTAATGAAAACTAAAATGGGACTAATAATTTCCTTCCCCATAGACAAGAATCGAAACTACTTTCATTAATTCATCTTATTTCTAGGTTTCATTAATGTGTTCAAAAATGGTTGACTTGAACTAAATTCTAATCTCATAGACAAGATAGAAATAATTCTCCAATATTTTAATTAATAAAAATAGCCAAATTTGTTAACTAATTAAACTCATTATTTAAGCAATTTGAATTTTATTTCTCATAGACAAGATATAAATTCCCTTCATTAAAATATCATATTTCTAGGCCTTATTAATGTGCTTGAATATGACTGTCTCAAATTACTTTCTAATCTCATAGACAAGTTAGAAATAATTTTCCAAAAATTTAATTAATGAAAATGGCTAACAATTATTAATTACTATTTCATCAATTTAAACAACTAGTCCAAATCATTAATTTTACCCCGTAATTTTCGGCTAACAAGTCAATCCATATTCCTTTAGTCAATTCATTCCCAAAACAAATTTAGCTACTCAACATTATTTTTGCATTCAACAATATAGTAAATAAATTAAACATTAACAAGGAACTAAACATTTATAATAGCACAAATTAAACAAAAATCAAATTCGGCCAACATAAACTTTCTGGAACTAAAATATGACCTGGAATTTTTCACGAATTTCTAAACCTAATATCCAATTTTAACAGTTAATTAGTAATTTTCCCAATATTAACTAGAAAATTCAAAAGGGAATTAAAAATAGGCTAAATTCGTTCTAAATTTTCTATTGACTACTTGGAGTTATATCAAAGTAGATTAAACTGGTTTAGAACTGTAACTGTTTTTTTACTATTTTTAACTAATTACTTTAAATTATGCAATAATAACAACTAATTACCGAAATTAATTAAAAATGACTTCTCTTTCGTAAAAATTAAAATTCTTAAGATAAATAACAACCTTGACACTAGTAAACAACTATATAATTAATTGGAATGAATTCAACATCAACAACTATTTTATTTAATATTTGGAAGAAAATACGAAATAGTTTAATAATTTTCTGTAAATTTTCTAAGAACAAATCGAACAAACAAAGAACATATTCAGATTCTAAACGTTGAGAGGATGAAAATACATATATAGAACTTACAATTTGAAGCTAAAATGAAGAAGATATGGAAGATTGAAGTTTCTCCCTCTAAGATTTTGAAGAGCTGCGAGAAAT